CCAGACATCCAGAAACGCTCTGAGCAATGGCATTACAGAGCCGCTCTTCCTGGCTTTGCCAAATAGAATTATCGGGTCCTTCTGACATTCCCAGGAGGCGGAGGAGCCACTCCTTGCCCCTGGTCCAGACCAAGTGCTGATGGGATTGATCTGACACCAAGGAGGCTGCTGACAACTCAAATGCCCTCTCTCACCATGCCACCCCGCTTCCTCTGTTCTCTTAAAAAAAAAAAAAAAAAAATGCGTTTAGGGCTGCAACAAGCATACACGAGGAATAACAACCCCTCTCAGGCAGTGCTCCTTTATACAACACGGGACATTCTCTTTAAAAATGAGATTTATAGATGCCATCTGTCTAGAAAATAACTAAAGCTCAAGGTAAAAGACTCCTCTTTTCTATCTTTCTAGGATGAAGTCATTCTAAGAGAAGGGGACTGACACACCACCAGCTGCAATGGAACTGATGATGGCAGAGGCAGTACCGGATGAGTGGGGTGACAGGGACCCAGCAGGGAGGGGCTGACGTGTCAGATGAACAGGCAGCTGAAGAGGCGGAAGTCAGAGCAAAGAGGTGACAGCCAAAGAAATGAAAGGCGATGCCGGTGTTAGAGGCAATGCACTAGTTTGTGCATAGGTCTCTCTTAAGATGGGTCAAAGCCAGAAACGCATCCTTTCTTCCTTTATTTCAAGAGGCAGCATCGTTATTTTTTAAAATATATTTTTATTGATTTCAGAGAGGGAAGGAAAGGGAGAGATAGAAACATCAATGATGAGGATCATTAATTGGCTGCCTCCTACATGCCCCCTACTGGAAATCAAGCCCACAATCCAGACATGTACCCTTGACAAGAATCAAACCCGGAACCCTTCAGTCGGCAGGCAGATGCTCTATCCACTGAGCCAAACCAACTGTGGCAAGCATCATTCTTTCAGGCATCTAGCTTTAAACTTTATCCCTCTTCGCCAGCAAAAGCCATCAACTGCCAATCCTGTGTGAGTCCACTTCTGCCATGCCCTTCACATTGGTCTCCCTCACTTTCTCTGCAGATTCCTCTGGGTCCTCCTGTCATCTCGTCCTAACCAGGACCAAACCCTCTCGCCTCATCTCACAGATCCCAGTCTCCCCTAACCCCACTCCGTCTTCTCATTTGCACAACCTATGAACTGGGAGGTCACGGTTTAATTCCTGGTCAATGTGGGGCATGCAGGAGGCAGCCGGTCAATGATTCCCATCATGGATGTTTCTATTTCTCTCTTCCTCTCCCTTCCTCTCTGAAATCAAGAACAATTGTTTTAAAAAATAAAAGTAAAATGAATTGAGACCTGTTCTTGAATAGAAACATTACAAGTACCCTGTAACATGACCTGGTTCTCAAAAAACAAATCCACTATCTAGCTTTGAGGGATAGGGCAGGAGCGGGGAGGCGGGACTATTTATTTATTTATGGATTTATGTATGTATGTATGTATTTATGTATGTATGTATGTATGTATGTATGTATGTATTTATTTTTGAGTCTAGAGACCTGGAACTGAGGTTCCGCTTTGCCATTCCCTAGCCATGGGCCTGGTGCCAGGCAGTTCTTCTCTGAGCATTGCTTCCTCACTTCTGCATGACCTCACAGTGAATGAACCCCAGTCCAATATTTCTCAATCCCCAATTATATGTCATAGCCCCCTAAAAAGCTGACAGAAACTACAGCAGGCCAGGCCCCAACCCAGGTCAACTGAAGCAGAATCCTCCAGTAGCAGGACCCAGTGGGATTAATTATTTATAAAATACCATTCCTAATGCATAGCCACGGCTGAAAACTACTGTTAGAAACTCATAAATACCCACTAATGGTAGAGCAAGGGGCTTTGGGCTGCTGACTCAATTATCCTTGATTTGTTCAGTTAGGAATTAGTTGGATGCTTTTATAGTTCCATTATACGTGTGGGCATTTTCCTATGTCCTACATTGTTGTTTGTGTGCTTAAGTGGTCGTCAATTCTGAGCAAATAATACTCAGCACACTGTGTACACAAAAATGTACCTAACCCCCAATTTTTATTTTTTTTTTAGAATAAATCAAAACATCTTCGGGTCCTCTAAAACTTCGCTACCAAGAAGGGTGGTGACAGGACAAGTCACCTGGGATAGATAACCTGAGAGCTTGTAAGAAACACAAAAATCTCAGGTCCAGCTGCAGAATCTGCATATTAACAAGATCTCCAGATGGACAGGTGAAACAAAGGCAAATTTTTCTCATTCTACACCTGTGCTCTGAAGGGGGGCGGGAGGGCATGGAAAGTCAAGTTCTATCTCTCATACACTATTGAAATTTGGGCTTTTATCCAGATGCTTCTTCACAAAAAGGCCCACTGGTAAAAACTAAGTTACAAACACAGATCCTTTCTTTTGAAGAAGACTAGGAAGACTAGTCTTCGCAGAGATCCTTTAAATAACCAATTCCTTTAAGAGATTTAAAATATGTTCATGTATAGTCCGGCTGGCATGGCTCAGTGGTTGAGCATCAACCTATGAACCAGGAGGTCATGGTTCAATTCCTGGTCAGGGCACATGCCTGGGTTGTAGGCTGGATCCCCAATTCCTGGTCAGGGCACATGCCTGGGTTGTAGGCTGGGGCATGCAGGAGGCAGCCAATCAATGATTCCCTCTCAGCACTGATGTGTGTGTGTGTGTGGGGGGGGGGGGGGGGGGTTCTCTGTCTCTCTCCCTCCCTTCCTCTCTGAAATCAATAAAAATGTATTTTTTAAAAATGATAATGTATAAAATGAATTGATACCCATTTGTTTCATGCAGTTCATAAATAACAAGTATTTGTGTACCTTACTGAACTTAAGGTTCCTAAGACCCAAATTCCAAAATTATGAAGGAGGGAAGCCTAGCCAATGCATTGAACTATTGACCCATGCCCTGAGATAACTATGATGTTAATAGAACCCATTTAAAACTGTGCAGCCCACCCTATAGTCAAGGAGTTGGAACAAATTCGAAGCCTCATCTAGACCAACTCCCTTGCTTGATGGAGAGGAAAGACCCCAGTCAAGGGTTAAAAGGAGTTTCCCACGGTCCCAGAGCACTGGAGGCAGAACCCAGCTCAGAATGCAGGCCCTGACTCCTAGTCGTACACTCCCTCCTCCGCCTCTGCCACACCTCCCAACCCACTGCCTTGAACTCTCATTTTCAGAAGCTGCTGACCAGCCTCACCTGTCACTTCCTTCTGCCAGCTACTGCTGTGCCAAGCTGTTTTTAACACTAGGCCACAGGAGAAGCCATATCACAGCCCAACCAAAATATCCATTTATCAATCCATCTTTCCAAATAAGTTGATAATGGATTCTTAAAAGCCCGATGCTAACTGTGTAATGTAAACTCTATAGCATTACTACCGTGTTTCCCCGAAAATAAGACATTCTCCGAAAATAAGACCTAGCGCATGGAAAGATAAGACATCCCCTGAAAATAAGACTTAGCGCAACTTTGGGAGTCAAAATTAATATAAGACACTGTCTTATTTTCGGGGAAACAGGGTATTAGCTAGCAGCAGGAGCACGCTGAGGGAAGAGTCCTTAGGCAGCTTAAGATTAGAAACAAGGGCAACCATTAACTCAATAGCACAATGTAGGGAGGAAGCTACAGAGGGAAGGCCAAACCGGGCACACAGTGGGGAGGCAGCACCTTTAAAGAACATACACACACACACACACAAAAAAAAGAACATACACAGTGTGACTATAAAATTGCAAGTCTTTCCTTTTAATAAAACAAACATGGCAGAAGGTAGAATTCTCAACAAAATTTCTCCCTTTGTTGGCGATATTATTTGAACTCCTCTTTGGGGAAAGACCTTAAAAAGTAAAAGTAAAAAAAAAAAAAAAAAAAAAAAAAGTAGCCGAAACTGGTTTGGCTCAGTGGATAGAATGTCAGCCTGCGGACTGAAAGGTCCCAGGTTCCATTCCGGTCAAGGGCATGTACCTAGGTTGCGGGCACAACCCCAGTTGGGGTTGCAAGAGGCAGCTGATCGATGATTCTCTCTCTATCCCTCTCTATCCCTCTCTCTTCCTTTCTGTAAAAAATCAATAAACTATATTAAAAAAAAAAAAAAAAAAAAAAAAGGAAAAGGCAGTGGAGGAGCCACAGCAGGAAATATCCTTCCACATGTTGGGCTGTTGAAAATCAGAACGTCACCCAGCTGGCATGGCTCCGTGGTAGAGCGTTGACCTACGAACCAGAAGGTCAGGGTTCGATTTCCGGGTCGTGACATATGCCTGAGTTGTGGGCTTGATCCCCAGTGGGGGCGTGTGGGAGGTGGCCGATCAATGATTCTCTCTCATCGTTGGGGTTTCTATCTTTCCCTCCCTCTCCCTTCTTCTCTGAAATCAATAAAAATATATTGAGAAATAAAATAAAATCAGAAAGTCCACACTCAGAGGATACGACTGAAAAATGAACGAGGTGCTGCAGGTCTCACAGAGGGAGGTTCCCTAACGACCTCCAGCAGGTCCTGAGCGACAGCTGCGCCAGGAGAGACATGGGGCCTCCTGGGACAGCCACGTCCAATGGGAGGGCATCATTGGGACAGAAAGGTTCTGCTGTCTAGGAGGAGAAAAAAAAAAAGAAAGAAAGAAAGAAAGGAAGGAAGGAAGAGAGGGAGAGAGAGAGAGAGAGAGAGAGAGAGAGAGAGAGAGAGAGAGAGAGAGAGAGAGAGAAGAAAAAGAGAGAGAAGAAGAAAGAAAGAAGAAGGAAGGGAAGGGGGAGGGAGGGAGGGGAGGAGGGAGTGAGGTAGAATAAGAAAGAAAGGAATCCTAAGAAACGAAAGAGGAAAGAAATAAGGAAGTGAAAAGTATGAATCGCAATAAACAAAGAAGAAAGAACGAAAGAACGAGAAAAAGAAAATCCGAATAACGAAAGCACAGAACTCATACAATCACATCCGTCCCCTCCTTGATAGTCACACTTGCATTGGATATTTTTTAAAAAATACAACACTCACATTTGGTTCTTGTACGAATTCTAATTAGGAGACATTACATTCAGAATGATAGCACTCATAGTGATCATGTTCTGAAGACTATAACAGCTTCTTCGCCACGGGAGGGGTACAGAGGGGCAGCTGTTTACCTGAACATATTCTTAAATAAGTGACTACTACCACTCTACGTTGCCTAGGTGTAGCTGTTCACAGGTTACTGACCGCACGTTCACGTTCCAGACTTCCTTGGCCAATACAGACCAACACCGCGAGGGAGCCCTCACCCTCACGGTCTCAGGGTGAATTGGGAAAGGGCCGGTTAAATGAGGAAACAGGCCACTCCTTGGTAAAAGTTTGCAGTTTTCTTTCCCAATACATCTTCTTTTTATTGAGAACTTCCATTTTTATCCTGTGTTCCTCCTCTGCCATCTCACACTCCCGCTCTATCTGCTGGATTTTGGCCACATGCACCTCATTCATTTGTATCAGCTGCAGTTGTAAGATGGACATTTGTTGATGGTGTTCTTCCTCATGCATCTTTTTTAAAGCACCTTCCTGAGAGGTTTTGCTCCTGTAGTTTTTATTGGCTGTTATTCTGACAGCTGAACACGAGGGTTCAGGTTGAGAGGTCCCCTCACACACTGGAAAATGTATGAACTCTTTCTCATCATCGCACAGTTCTCTATTTGAAACAGCAAATGATTCTGAAAAACAGTAGCAGAAAACATATGTTCAAGGATTTTACAGGCAGAGAGTAAGTCATCCTATTTCAAAGTCAGGGTCCCCCCAGTACAGGATGCATCTGAAACAGCATCTGCTTTGGCCTGCGTGGACACACGTACCCTTGCCACACCTGACTTTTTAAAAACCCATTAACCCAAAGCAATTTTTTTTTTTCTTAAGAAGTAATGGTAAGTTGTTTCATCGTGTCATTTCTAGGAACTGCAGACTGTGGGAACAGTGTCAGAGACTGAGCTTAGTCAAGAACCGATGATCTTGTTATGTGGATGTACGTTCTAACCTGAAGTGTGGACAACTCCAAGAGAGCAGACAGCCACAGTACACGGCCAGCAGTTGGTTTTGAGCTTAAGTTCTCTCTCAGTCTGACCTCCTTTGCTCACTTTCTCATCTAGCTATGAACGCATATTCCAAGTCCACAAGTCACCGCTCTATTTCCTGGGTAGTTATCTCATGAATGTTCCTTGTTGCAAAATGAGCCTCTCCTCGCTGGCTTAGCTTCCTTCCACCTATATCTGGCAGCTACCTGTAACTCTGCCGCCTGAGGGTAAATATTCAGATCCAAAGACCCTGGTCAATGTCCCGCTTAGGTAACCTCTCCCGAGCACTTGACACATTTTTTGAGATGTTTTCTCCTTCTATTAGCTCCTGAACCATCACCCTCTTCTAGATTTTCTACAGTATCCTCGCTGACTGCTTCTTCTCTAGTCTCCTTTTGGGACTCAAGACTCTGGCTCCAACCCACCTCTAACCTTTTAATATGCCCCCGAGGCTCTTCTCTTTGGTGGTTTTCAATCTACCCTAAGTAATGCTTATAATCTGGTTCTAACCTTCCTTTGTCTTCTTGTCTTACTCTTCAAAATACCCTGCGCACCCTTCCATTATCACAAACCACGCACATTCTCAAAGGCCATGCTTTTCTTCACTGTTCTGACTCACAGTTCCTCCAACACACACTTACTCCATTCTCCCTTTTCCACACCCCCCCCCCGCCCCCCAACTTCTACGTCCCTCGAGATCAATGCCACCTGCTCTGAGAACCAGAGCTCTCTCTCCCTTCCCTACACTTACTCCTTTGTTACAGCACTGAACACACATGGGGTGGGGCTAAAGGAGGTTTTCATACGGAAAATAGCACCATAAATACTACAGACTAATACAAGAATAAAGTCTGTGTTTTGCAGACCCTGTACTAGTATTATTTTGGCACCATGCTTTACTCATGTCTTTTATCATTGAGGCCAATGACTTTACCTGGTACACAGTGGGTATCTGGTTACTGTCTGAAGCCTTGAACAAAAGGGGGGGAAAAGCATATGATACAGAATGATGCCATTTTCGGCGGTGCCACATTGGCACCGCTATTTTTTATAGGGCAGTGACATTAGTGTGAATTAGGGAGTTTCAGTGAGACAACCACTAACCCATGGAGTCTTCCCAAGGCTTTCTTGGGAAGTTTGACACTTCCAATAATGAGAATTGTCTCCTTGGAGAAAAATACTGTGTATTCACAAGAGTTGATTACATTATTATGGCCACTCCGTTATTCCAGAAGATGGGATGCTGTGCATGCTAATGGCTAGTGGGAGAAACCTAACCCATAATAGTCTGTTAGTAAAAGGAAATGGCTACTGTATAAGTAATTTCACTCCAAGGTGTTGGGTAACAAGCATAACTAGTCCCTAATTAAGGTGAAAGAAAAGGTAAACATTTTACTTTTGAAAGAGAAGGTTAAGAAGAGTACTTCTGGGAGGCTGGTGTTGCTCATTGGTTGAGTGTCGGCCTATGAACAAGGCAGTCACTAGCAATTTGATTCCCAGGCAGCACACATGCCCGGGTCCGGGCTTGAACCCCAATGGGGAGCATGCAGGAGGCAGCCAATCACTGATTCTCTCTCCTCATTGATGTTTCTATCTCTCTCTCTCTCTCACCCTTCTTCTCTGAAATCCATATATATTTTTTTAAAGGGATATTTCTGTATCATCCAGAGATAATGAAAATGTCTCCCTAGGAACCTTTTCCAAGTCCGATGGCCCCGGCCTCCCACCAGATGCCCTTCCCTCATGCTGCCACTGCCTCCGGAGCCTATGTCTGGCAGAGCACTTGTTAAAGCTGAAGGTTTAACTAGAATAGTTTGAACAAAGAGACTAGCTTTTATTCATCTTCATAAAGAAGCCAGCACAGGGTCCAATACACTGCTGGGCCCATAAGAAATGTGTGTGGGATGAACTGGCTCCAGCACAGCACAGCTAGGTGGAAAGAGCCGAGGCTCAGGACAAAGTGATGGGACACACTTCACACTAAGAATAGGTCCCTCAGATAAGAGCATCAACTGTGAAGAGGATTACCTCATCCGTTTCCTTTCTAGTCTTAGATCTGAAAGTATTGTACCTTCTTTGAAGACTGGGCACAGATGTTTTTTGGTACCTTTCGCCTCTCTTCTCTTTGATTTCATTCCAGAGGATACTCCTGAGTTTATGCCCTCACAATCACTCCTCTCTCCCAATATCTAAATGCTCATTTTTATTGCAACAATTCTAGGCTTTAGGGAGGTGATGATGATGATGATGATGATGACGACGATGACAGCAGCTACTATTTTGAGGCATTATGCTAGTGTTTTACAGGCATTACCTCATTTAATCCTTACAACAACTCAGTGAAGGAGGTATTATTACCGAACATCAAACACAACATCCACAGTAGCTAGTTGAAAGAACCAGGATTCCAATCCAGGTCTTCATCATTCCAAACTCCAAGGTCAACTAGCACAACACCTAGCCTCTCAGTACTTCACGTGCTCAGCTGATCACTTTCGTATCTTAAAATGCAGCCTCCACACTGTATTCACTACAAAATTACCCATTAGTAAGAAATGTAGATGTATATTCCAAATTTTGATCTCCAAATTTCTCTCTAGAGCTATGAACATTTAAGACAGTATGTTCATGTCTGGGAGCACAGAAATGACTGTGTGTAACAACAATCCTTTTTTTAGTGTAAATGTGTGCTAACACACATATTTTAAAGAAAAAAGAAAGCCAGGCCTCTTGAGAAGACTCTAGCAGGAGCAGGGGCCTAAAACTAGAGAAGCCTGATGAAGTAGTTAATTAACTCTCACACAAATATTAGCTCCCATGAATGGAAGCTAGTGTTCAGATGGGGAGAATCTTTTCTTAATTGGAAAAAAGACCACCCTGGGAATGGCAAACACACACCATGTAATCTCTCTCCCAGGTAAAACAAAGCCACCCGAAGCAGAAAACAACTCAATCTTGTGCAAAATGGATATGAAGGCCTAAGGGCTTTCCTGGGACCAGAGAACACAGTCAAGGGAGCATTCTTTCATTTGGGCAACTCGAGTAAATTTAATACCAGCAGGAAAAGCCTACTATGGCAGTAAAAGAATGGGAAAGCCGAAACCGGTTTGGCTCAGTGGTAGAGTGTGGGTCTGCAGACTGAAAGGTACCAGGTTCGATTCCGGTCAAGGGCATGTACATTGGTTGTGGGCACATCCCAGTGGGGGTGGGGGGGTGCAAGAGGCAGCTGGTCAATGTTTCTCTCTCATCGACGTTTCTAGCTCTCTATCTCTCTCCCTACCTCTCTGTAAAAAATCAATAAAATATATTAAAAAAAAAAAAAAAAAAAAAAAAAAAGAATGGGAAGGAAACTGTGCTCAGGCCAAACACCAGCACTTCTCAACAGAACAAAGGAATCAGGACTGGGAGAATCCTATCTAATAAAAGGGTAATATGCAAATTAACCATCACTCCGTCACAAATATGGCGGTGCCCAGTCCTCTCAACCCCATCAGAATCCCCCAGTCCCGGGCGGAGGGGAAAGTAGCCACTAGGAGTGGACAGCATGAGCTGCCTGGCAGAATTGCTTGCTTTGTCGCCACAGTGACAAGGCAAGCATTCCAAGCCTGGCCAAAGATGGGCCTCTGGGCAGTGGGCACAGAGCGGCCAGGCCCCGCAGAGAGCTACTGGCACGTGGATTCGTGCACAGGGCTACTAGTGAATAAATAAAAGGTGATAGGTGCACAATATGCAATATTATGCATCAACTAAGAAAACAAATTAGACTGACATGTTGCAAAAACATTATTCTAAGAGGAAAATGTCAAAAAATGGTATCTATAGCACAATCTCTAATCTATTTAAATGAGAAAAAATATGTGCACAAAAGAGCAATGCATGCTTTCAAGAACATGTGAGAGGAAACACAATCACATTAGAATGATGAAGGGATAGGAGAAGAGGAGGAAAGTGCTGAATGGTGAGTAAATATATAAGTAACACAAAAAAGTGGGCTTTTCCCAGACCAGCGATGCTGGTGTGCCATGAGTGGCCATATAATCCAGTCCCCTATTCTTGAGTTCTCACCCCAGAAGAACAAAGTTGGATTAAATAGTGATAATACTGGAATTCATTAAGGAATGTTTTTGTGTTAATTACAGCTTTGAGTGCCCATGTCTGCATTATTCAAATATAGCTTTATAATAAATAATGGTCTATGAAATTAACTATAAATTCTCTTAAAGATATCTAAAAACTATCTGAAATCTTAGTTTGCTTAAATATATTTGACATTTGTCATCTTACCTCCTGACCACTTCCAGCAAATTTTGTGGTTTCCCTTAGTTTGTTCTGCAAACATGTTCCCCAAAGATAATCTCACTTATCTGAACATGGAAGATAAGTATCAAAGCCAAATTATCAAATATAAATTTACAGAATACAAAGTGTTTTAACATATTTAAGGGGAGAATTCGGGGGTTTTGAAAATACATTCTTAAGTGTTAAACTTACATTTTTAAATGACTGAGTTCAAATACAAATGTACATTCAAGAAAGTCCCATTGACAAGGTACAGTGATCAAGACGACAAAAGTGAAATTATCTCACACACAAAAAATTGTTGGAGGGAGGCCTCTAGTGGAATACTGTAAGGCTCCATCGTGGTTAATAAAGTCCCACAATTCTCTGAGTGCCCAATTCTGCAACAGGTATTCTGCAATGTGCTAGAGCAGTGCTGTCTTATTGAAATATAAGCTACATATGCAGTTTTAAATTCTCATACCACATTAAAGAAGTAAAAGGAGGTGAAACTAATTATAGTAAAATATTTTAAGTCCCACATTTCTAAAATATTATCATTTCAACATGTAATTGATATAAAAATTATTAGTAATAGATTTTACATTCTTTTTTTTTTATATACGAAGTCTTCAACATACAAGGTGTATATTTATAGCACGTCTCAATTTGGTCTACACACCCACTTCAAGGACTTACTGACCTCTTGTGACTTATAACTATTGTATTGGATAGCACAGTGTAAGGGATAAAGTAAAACACATACATATGCACGCGTGCACATACACACACTCTGTGTGTCAAAATACACGTGATGTAATGAGAGTCATAACCTTGTCGCATATTTTCAACCTTTTTCCCACAAGGACCCAGAAGGAATGATTGACAAGTTCAGCTTTCTTTCTATTTCTTAAAAGTAAATTAAATGTAAAAGGAATTGGGTAACACCAAAGCTGTTGTAACGTATAGAAAGAGTTCAACGACCTTATCTACTTGTGTTAACGGATTACTTTGGACACACTCCCCAACTAACAAAGCACCATGGTTCTGTACCATACTACAAATTTGACCTGTAGACAGGAACAGGTAACATTTGCCTATATATATATATATTTTTTTTTAATATATATTTTATTGATTTTTTTACAGAGAGGAAGGGAGAGAGATAGAGAGCTAGAAACGTCGATGAGAGAGAAACATCGACCAGCTGCCTCTTGCACACCCCCTACCAGGGATGTGCCCGCAACCAATTTACATGCCCTTGACCGGAATCGAACCTGGGACCTTTCAGTCCGCAGACCGACGCTCTACCACTGAGCCAAACCGGTTTCAGCAACATTTGCCTATATTTTAAGAATCACCAGCAAAAAGAGAAGTCTCATATGTCATATATGTACAAACATCCAATTTAATATCAATCTAATTTACAAGTTGGTGTCTAGCAAATATCATGACAGGAAGGACACTGAGAGTCCATACCTATCCCCTTCTTGCTGGAAACCTATAAATTGTGTTTATGAATACATGAATTATATCATTTCCTCCAAAAAGAAAAACACTTATGAACTTTCTAGATACCACCCTAGAATTTGGAAATGGGGGAATGGGACTGTCCTCTTAGGACCACCCTTGAAATCACTACAGAATAATACAGATCAAAGATGTGCAAAGTGAATTAACAGCAGTCCACACCAGCACTTTCCCAGATAACATCTCCCAGGGAACATAACTTGAAAAGGAGCCCTGCTATTCACCTCCTTCCCTCCCATTCCAGCACCAGTCCCTTCACTGCCTCCAGGGCCAGCAAGATGGAGAGTAGCTGGCTGAAGCTACAAACATCTCCAAAACAAGGACACTGCCTGTCAGCAGTGGGCTACATCCCGACAGAAGCAGCAACGAGAAGGGGCCAAACAGAGAGCAGACAGGTGTCCGCATAAACACTGTTTGCTGGAAGGTACTGTGGCTTAGGACTCAAAAATCAAAATCCAGACACAGGGCTCTGCACTAGAAAATGAGGCATGATGCACATGACATTAACCACCGTGCTTGCCCAGCTGGCTCCCTGGACTTAACCTTGGTCAGATGATCAGCGAGCAAACTTCTTTTTAAATATATTTTTACTGATTTCAGAGAGGAACGGAGAGGGATGGAACATCAACGATTAGAGAGAATCATTGATCAGCTGCCTCCTACAGGGGAATGAGCCCACAACCCAGGCATGTGCCCTTGACTGGAACTGAACCTGGGACCCTTCAGTCTGCAGGCCAACGCTCTATCCACTGAGCCAGTAGGGCAGCAAGCAAACTTTTGATTGCAACTTAAGTTCCCAGGATAATCTGTCTGAGGGGTTGGGAGTGCTAATCAAAATGTGTTAATTCAGTTCACTTGGTTATTATCTTTTTCAACCTACATGGATAGCACTGTGACTTTTAATTAACTGGTCCCTCAGAGCTCAAACTACTGTGGGGACCCTAATAAGTGAATTTCTCATCCTGCAAGCCACAGATCAGATGTCCCTGTTGCAGGGTCTTTAGTGCACCTTGTGAACAGCCTTCTGATCGTCCCGGAAATTATTGTGTCTTGTGCAAAGTACAATGAATCTTCATATAAACTAGCCATTCTTATCTTAAAAGAGGCATTATTATTGCATTCTCTCACCCTCTTCTTGCCTGGAGACATTTCAATAGCCCCTTAATTCCAGCCTTTTAAAGCTATGACATGTAATGATAACATGCTATCATTACTTCCTCAATTATATGAACATCTTTTCCTTCCTGAAGAACTCTATATAACATACTTATCTTTTCAACAAAAGTATATTAAAAAGGAAATAATTTTCCCCAGAATTCCTCAAGTTACCAGGAGTGCCACAAACCAAAACTGCAGATCACAATATAATATTGGGTGGAAATGCTGTGTGTGTGTTTTTAAGCATATATATATATTTTTTTTAATATATTTTTTTATTGATTTCAGAGAGGAAGGAAGAGGGAGAGGGAGATAGAAACATCCATGATGAGAGAAAATAATTCATTGGCTGCCTCCTGCAAGTCCTCCACTGGGGATTGAGCCCAACAACCTGGGCACATAATCTTGACCGGAATTGAACCTGGGACCCTTCAGTTCGCAGGCCATCGTTCTATCCACTGAGTCAAACCAGCTAGGGCGGAAATGCTGTTTTTTAATCTGGGTGAATGCTAAGTGGGTATTTGCTCTATGAGTCTCACAACTTGTATTAAGTCTGAAACAGTTCACTCTTTTACTAGTAATGTGGCCTTTTGCATGACTTAATGCAGTGCTTTGCACGTTATCGGTCCTCAAGAAATACTTCTTTGGGGGGAGTGGGGGAAAGACTGAATGAATGAAATAAACCTTCGAACAAATCCACTTCATTATATTTGTGACAGGTTAAGATAAGCTACTAAAGTACTTCATTGATGACAACTATATTCATGGAGCCCCTGCGTTTTCCTTATTCTTAAGTAATAATAGCGATAAGAGAGATAGTACAAGGATATACATAAGCAAGTACTTTTGTTTTTATGTACTATGTGACTTTGAATTGGGAAACTCAGGTTTGGAATTCTAGTCCCCTAGAATTCGGGATTCTAAAATGCACATGGAGGACAGGTCCCCCATGGGAACGTGCAAGCCGAGCTCAGGCCATACCTTGGGCGGGGGCATCCGGGTGGTACTCCGGCTCTTCCTCGGGCGGGCTCTGCAGGAAGTAGAGCTGCTCGGGCAGCATGCTGGCGATCTTCTCCTTCCCCAGGACGTGGCTGCTCAGGAGCGGGCTGACGCTCCGTTTCACCTTCTCCCTCCTTTCGTGGGCCATAATCTTTTTCGTCCGAGCCTTGATGTTCTCCCAGCACTTCTTCAGCTGCTTGAAATCCCGCAGGGACACGCTGGGCTGGGAGTTGTACTCGTGGGCCAGCGCCTGCCAGGTCCGCTGCTTGAGGGCAATAGTCCGCGCATCGCTTTTCTTACATTCCAGCACATACTTGTACTTTTCGACCAACGCAAGCAGGATGCTCTTTTCCAGCTCTGAGAAGTATTTGGCAGGTTTTATGATTTCGTTGTTTTGCATCTTCCAGTCTATTGCTCCTGGCCGTCGTCAGCGATCCTGGAAAGGGAAGTAGGAGGCGATTATTACGAATGCCAGGAATGAAAATGTCAGCAAATCACTGAAAGCTAATCCCTGCCCTGATCCCCTTGCCCAAAACACAGCACTTCTTTCTTTTCTGCTGATGTTGACCTAGCACAGTCTCGGGAAAACAGAAGTTTACTAGGAGTGGGGTTTTACTTCACAGATGTTCGAGTAGGTCGCGTGTTGGAGGTCTTGGCCATTCTGAGAATATCAGCAGAAAAATACATCCTTAATGGAACTTCAATATGGAATTCTAGTCTGTTAATGTATCTATTCCTGCATCCTGCGAGGACACTCATTACTTCCCAAATTGAGAATGTTAGGCAGCTTTTCAACTAGACAGCTTTCTCAAAGTTTTTGTCACAGCTGAAGACTGAGCCACTGTGTAACCAAATATAAGAGATTTTTAAAAATATATATTTTATTGATTTTTTACAGAGAGGAAGAGAGAGGAATAGAGAATTAGAAGCATCAATGAGAAAGAATCATCGATCAGCTGCCTCCTGCACACCCCCCATCGGGGATGTGCCCGCAACCAAAGCACATGCCCCCCAACCGGAATCAAACCCGGGACCCTTCAGTCCACAGGCCGACGCTCTATCCACTGAGCCAAACCAGTTTTGGCAAATATAAGAGATCTTGTAAACACTATCAAGATTTCAAAACCACCAAGAAATCACCCGAAACACCTGACATTTCCATCACTATGTCTATGACCGTGGTGGATACAACCACCCTCCTAGAGGAACCTCAGGTTCTTTATCTTTAAAATGAGGGCTTGGAGTCTGTGATCCTTGAGGTCTAAAGCCGTGTTTAAAAGTGTACAATCCTATGTAAATAATTTATATCATTCCAGAGGTGAAAGGGCCCCGGCACTTAGAGATTGAGCCAAATACCTCTCTTTTCTTTCTTTCTTTTTTCTTTTTTTTCTGGACATTTCATACAAATGGAATCATACAATATGAGGTCTTTTGTGACTGGCTTCTTTCACTTAGCACAGTGATTTTCAACCTTTTTCATTCAGGCTCCTTCTCCCCCAAAGACCAAAATTAATTTTTTGCCTTCATCAATATTCCTACTTCCTGTAAATCGGTGTTTCCCCAAACTAAAATTTATTAACACACATCTCCTGCATCTCTTTAGTATCATCTCTCTCCACCAAAATGTTTATAACTAATTTACTTTCTATAGCTTTTATTAAGAAATCAGTAAGTTTACTGGATGTTCTTAAACAGCTCCCACAGCAGATTCTGATCTGATCCCCCATCCCTACTACTTTGCCCCAAGATGTCAAAATGCCTTCTTTTCCTCATGCACCTACACTTTTTTGTGTGTTTTTTTTTTAAATATATTTTTATTGATTTTAGAGAGGAAGGGAGAGGGAGAGATAGAAACATCAATGATGATAGAATCATTGATAGGCTGCTTCCTGCAAGCCCCCACTAGGGATTGAGCTCACAACCCAGGCTGGACTCAAACCCAGGACCTTTCAGTCCGCAGGCTGACACTCTATCCACTGAGTCAAGCAAGCTAGGGCTCATACTTTTTAAGAATCATGTTATAAGGATTGAGACTCTGATTCACAAATGAAAAAGTTATTGTTCCCTATTGTGTTCTATTATATGTCATGTTATTTATATTTTTATAAATATATGACATATATATTTATAAATATTTATATTCCATATATATATATATATATATATATATATATATATATGTACACACACACATTTTTCTTTATTTCTTCAAGATAAGTCCCTAGGGGAGGAATGGTTGCCACAAAAGATGCAAACACTGAAGACTTTGGTTACATCACCATCTGTCCTCCAGAAATGGAGTACTGATTTACATACCTACTATTAACACACGATCATGTCTGTTTCCACACTTCATTTACTCTTGCTGTTAACATCTTTTAAAAATCGGTGCCAACTGTGGAGGTGAAAAGCGTCACTTCATTGATTAATGATATGTGAATTCCAGTTCTGAGGCAAATGAGCCACACTCTGAGCAAAGTCCCTGTTATACTTGGTGGAATTCAAACTACAAGCAATTTAATTCTTCCTCACAATGTGTGCAGTACCTCTAGCTGCCACCAGGTGGCGGTGGGCTCATGGGGGGGAGTCTAAATTCACAAAAGATCTTGCCCTAAGTGTGGCCAGTTGTCGCTAATGAACTGCAATAACAGCAGATAACTTTTATTGAACCTTACAAGGTGAGTTAGACCCTACACTAAGTGTTTAATATGCAGTATATCATGTAATCCTCCCCCAAATAGCTCCTGAGAGCATCGTTTGTTACATTATAATCTTTTCTGTTAAAAAAAAAACAAAACACAACTTTATTAAAGTACCAGAAGAAATTGTACAACTGCTCTCAAAAGCAAATGCTGAGAATTGCCAACACCTGGGGACCATTAATAGCCTGTTAACTAAGCTGTTATTTAATCACTAGCTAAGTAAATGCAGAGTTACCAATTTACTTTGCTTAATTTTGTAGAACAGCAGGCCTCCGGGGGCCATGTGGTTGCAGTCTGCAGGGCTATAAAGGGATTCTGGTGGGAGCCAGTGTACCCCAAAAGCCCCTATGGATTCCCAGCAACCTCGGAAGTAGGCTGTTTATCCCCACGCACCAATTGTATTTCCCAGATCGGAAAAGTGAGGCTCGGTGACTAGCTGGTAGTCACACAAATAGTAAGAAGAAGAACCAGGATTCCAACTCACGTCTTACTCCAATGTCCTTACCGCCCTCTGCTCTGCTTAGCTTTCTCCTTTCAGACCTAATGACAACCTCAAGTGCCTTTGCTCAAATTACATGTCGAATTGCAGAACAATCTAATTGTCATCAGAGAAAGGTCCCGAGGAAGAGCAACTTTAGGGGAAGCAGTGCCTGCCTCTGTCTGGCTCCATTTGGTGGCTCTTCCCCTCCTCTCTCCATCCATCATCTCACCCCTCTATGTCTCAAACTTGGGGCCCTTAGCCCCTCATTCCCACTCCCACCCAGGCGTTCCTCTCTCACTCCAACCCAAGCTCTGAAATAATGTCTGCTGTTGATCTGGTAAGAATGGATGTTTGAAAAATAACTGTAGATATAATATGGAGCTTTAAAATGGTCCACCCCTCAAGGGGATGCTGGCATTCTGCTTAAGCATCTGACTGATGGTCCTAAGTAAACAAGCACTTCCCAAAAGAGATCTCCAGCTGAAGCTTGTCCATGGAAACTTCGAGGCTAGAAAGCACCTTCTAGATTACAACTCCTCGGCAATGTCCACAATGGGTGATAGATGACAACATAACAGTCCTTCCCTGCTGTATCTGCTTTTATGAGAGGGAGAGACGGGCCTCACTTGTGCCCCAAATCTGCTCACTTCAGATCATCTTTTCTGTCTGCGTTTCTGCTAGACAGAGTGCTACCCATCCCCACGGGTGGCTGTAGTCCAACAAGTCGAATGACCCTCGTACAGTGGGCCTTCAGCAAACATGAAATGAATGACTACATTCTGATATGGGCGTAAAATGGCCCACTAGGCACAAGATGAGTATCACGCATGATAAAACAGTCAGTACACTAAAAGGTGCATTAAAATAAAAATGGTAAAACAAAATAGCAAAATCCAAATGCAATAGCAGTTCCCTGTGGGCTAGGCAAAGACCCATAGACAGGACAAAATAAAAGAACGCAATCCCAATGTGACAAAAGAACAAAGAGAAAAGAATCAGCACAATTCCCGAAACACTAACATATATATATATGATTTTTTTACAGAGATAAAGGGAGAGGCATAGAGAGTTAGAAACATCGATCAGCTGCCTCCTGCACACCCCCTACTGGGATTGTGCCCGCAACCAAGGTACATACCCTTGACCGGAATCGAACCTGGGACCTTTCAGTCCGCAGGTCGACGCTCCATCCACTGAGCCAAACCAGTTAGGGCTGAACTACTGTTTTTAAAGTAAAGTGAATGAATTAAACCAAAAAACTGGATGCAGAAAATCTGGGCTCAAATCCCGATTTTAGCATTCACCCACCTGTGTGATTCTGGGCAAGTCAAATCACTTGCAGTTCTTCATCTGTAAAATGAGACTCAGACCCCCTGCTCAGCCTTACTCTCTGCACAGATGCCCTGCCATGGGAGTAAAGAACAGCACAGACCAGAACTTCAAAAAATGTAGTTCTTTCTGCCCCTCCCGTCCATGTTAAACTGCCGACAGTTGGGCGATTATCTTGAGTTTCATCTCAAGAGTAAACTGTCTTCCTCTTCTTACCAGAAGGAGGAGACACAGAGAGGCATTTTTATAGACACGATGAAATGTCAAAACACAAAATGCAATATCCAAAGAATGCTGGCAACACCGTAAGCTGTAGACTACGGGTGGCTTACGGTCATGATTGCATGGCTGACAGGAACCACTGCTCCCCACCACTGCCCAGGATCACGAGAGAGTAACATATGGCAGATCGCTAGCCCAGGAAAAGATCAAAATTCAAAATCGCCAGTACAGTTTCTACTGAGTGAACCACTTTGGCACCATTGTAAAGTAAAAAAAAAAAAAATCATTGTGGACCATCTGTACACTGAAATACTTATTGACTCTTTTATTTCATAGATGCACAATTCAACAACTACGTCATGAATTCCTGCCAGAGACTCAGGACCTTCCTCAAATATGTGGGAGACAAAGACAAGCTGAACCCTCTAGCCTGGGAGGAGCACTGGTATGCATAAAGTGCTGGCTGAAATGACAGGCACAGCCGAAACCGGTTTGGCTCAGTGGATAGAGAGTCCATCTGCGGACTGAAGGGTCCAAGGTTCAATTACAGTCAAGGGCCTGTAACTTGGTTGCAGGCACATCCCCGGTAGGGGGTGTACAGGAGGCAGCTAGTTGATGTTTCTCTCTCATCAGTGTTTCTAGCTCTCTATCCCTCTCCCTTTCTCTCTGTAAATATATGTATATTTAAATAATAATAATAAT